TTTGTTACATCTTTAAGTTGTATAGAAAAATAGATTTGCAAGACAATATCATCAGCGGAAATCCTTGTTTCTCTAAAAATAAGGATCTATTTAATACTTCCATATCATTAGTAATGACTAAGTTATTGCTGTATCAGCAGTTATAGTATTTTTATGTCTGTTTTGAAAAACAAAATGCATACACACGATACAATAAAAATATACAATTTTAACTCATTGGCCCTTTATCACAAAAGTGAGATTGTTCTTTTGCTTCTCTAGTAGACCATGGCTCCCCTACCAAGGATGACCAACCCCGTCTGTCTGATTATGAATTCTGCTGATAATAAGTTGGCTGTTAATGAGGAAGCCAAAACAATCTTGTCAAAGATCTCCCAGCCTCTAGTTGTGGTGTCCATTGTTGGGCCTTACCGGTCTGGAAAATCCTACCTAATCAACAAGTTATCAGGCCAGCCAGGAGGTAAGCGGTATAGGAATTACTCTAGAAAATGAAGGACAAAGGATATAAATGTTCTACCATTATCTTCACATGTACAGGTCAGCTGCAAGGGCTGGCTACTTGTCCGGGGTCTATTGCTGCTGCTTTAGTGGCCTTTAGAAGCTGCGGCTTATGTGAAGCTTTATCTGTGTGCACCATATTGAGGTTTAACCATATTTTCATATCCTTTTATATGACGTTATCTGATCTCAACATAACACCTAATCAATATGACTTTACCCCATACAACGGCTACACAGAGAATGTCCACACACGCCTATGAAAATACAATATGAGAGAGGTGGAGCAAGGTGGTTACATGTTGGAAGAATATGATCCAACCAAAGGTTTAGCCAGCTAGTCAGATGCAATGCAAATAGTTTCAGTAGAAGCCTACTTGGGGTTAAGCCTTTGTTGGGTTCCAGGAGATCCATCATTTAGATACATGGGCAGGAATGGTAGACAAGGGACGAAGTGATTTAGTTTGAAAGTCCAGTCAAACTTTGAGTGAGCCAGAACATTAGCATGCACCTGTACATGCATTGTGTGCCTGACTACATAAAAAACAGAAAGTGGTAGTGGTGGAGGAGGCCACAAATACATAAGATTTGGAATAGAAGAAAGCGATCACCTAATAGCTGGTAAACCCACAGCCAACAGATGGACCAAATTAGCTGCATGTGGGCGATGGACAATTGGCCTCTGGTTACAGGGGCAGCATTAGGAACCAATGAGGTAAGCTCGAGTACACATTTGAGCTTACAAAGAAGATGCTAAAAAGAGGAGAGACAAGAACTCTTCAGTCTGTTGCTGCTGCTCCTTTATTGTCTAAACACGGGTTGGGGCAGAGAGGTAACCAGGATGTATTGCATAACTATGGTAGAGCAAAAATAAGGTCACAGCCTGGTGTGAAGTCTGGCAGAGCTGTGCAAATCCTAGGACTGGATCAACAGAGATAAAAATCATGTGGAAAGTAGCGCATCTCCTGTATATGAGCTTTTTGTCTGGTGTTAATATTTGAAGCTGGCCTAAGGGGGGAATATCTCACACTAAAACAATAAGTAGTTAGATAGCTACACATTTTTGCTTCTACCTTGCCATGAGGAGATCTGATGATTGTTTGCAGAGATAGTTCATCATGCTAGAGAATCTTTACAAATGACAACAAACACAAATCAACTAAACATTTTTGATTGCTTGCATTTGCCAGGCTCATTGTGGCCACCTTTAAGATGTCCTCATTGGCCAAAGTCCTTCTTTTGACAATGAGGTTGAGCCACTGGAACATCTATGACCTGCTCAGTTGCTTTAGTCAATCACCATGTAGAGCTGTGGGCCCAATGCTTATTTTCACGTATGGCTTTAAATCCTATTGTTGGCTTACATACACATTAATCTCCACTTCAAAGACAGTGGGGGATTTTCTTATGGGATCGGATGGTTTTAATTAGGACCTAATTAAAGGTTTTATTATTGAGCAGGAGAAAGTATTACATTGGATAGTTGCATTGCTCTGTACTACTTTGACAGCAGGGATACAAGTAAAACATTTTAAGCAAGTGATCTGCTTATTCCATAGGTGTTTTCTCTGTGGATCCCACAATTAAAGCAAATACTAAAGGCATATGGATGTGGTGCATGCCACACCCAGAGAAACATGGACATACCTTGGTGCTTTTGGACACGGAAGGACTGGGAGACCCAGACAAGGTAAGCTTGGGAAGATATATGCAATAAATTAATGTATCAACTACTTACCATTGACCCTTCCATTTCTGTCTTTTAGGGAGACAAGGAAAATGATCGTATAATCCTATCATTGGCCCTGCTCATGAGCAGTGCTGTCATCTACAATAGTTCTGGGGTTATTGACTACTATGCCCTGGAGAAACTAGAGTATCCTTTTTGTCAGAAGCCAAGCTGTTCCTACATATACCCTGTTTCCCCGAAAATAAGACCTAGTACTATTTTTGGGAATTGCTAAAATTTAAGACCTACCCCGAAAATAAGACCTAGTTGTGACCATTCCCGGGGCCAGTGGTGGCATAAGGGGGAACTTGAAGAGCCGCAGGAGAGGCAAAAGAGAATCAGCGGTGCCGGGGCGTGGCTTGAGTAGCTGAACATGGCAGACGTGTGCTGATTCAGCTCCTCTCCCCCTGGGCACCTATCTCCACTTTTCTCGAGCTAACTTCATCGATCCAACCTCCACCCTTCTCCACTACGATCCCGGATCCCTTCTCTCCCCCCCCATGGGCAGGAAAAGTGCCTACCTACAACGTACCCGCAAATCTACGCGATCCTCCGCTGCAGGGAGTGTGAGGGCCGCCACCCCGACCTGAGCAACGGCTACAACCCCAGCCACGTGTACGATGGCCTCTTCTCCTCTGTACCCAGAACATCCATCGCCATCAGGGACTCCTTCAGACTTTCTCGTCTCGTCTCCAAGCAGCTCAGCCGCCCACTCTCCAGCCCCAGCAGCGGCTGAGTTCCATTTACGAGATGCCCAGCTTCTAGATCGGTTTAAAGCCATGCTGCAAACTGAGCTCAAAATGGCCACCGATGCAATCTCTGCCAACCTCTCCAAAGAACTCAGAGACCTGGGCTCCCGCACAGATCTTTTAGAGACTAAAGTGGATGACACTACCCATGTAGTGAACGCTCACTCTGCCGCCCTCACCTCCTTACAGGCGGACCTCTTGATGGCGGTCTCGAAACTTGAGGACCTCGAAAACCGGGCACGAAGGGGGAACCTGCGCATTCGAGGTGTGCCGGAACGGGTGGAAGACTTACCCTCTACCATTACTGCACTCTTCCAGGAACTTCAACCAGCAATCCCTATCGATCGCATGGAATTCGACAGGATCCACCGCTCCTTAGGCCCTAGGCGCTCTGACGGTTTGCCCCGGGACGTGATCGTCAAGTTCACCTACAGGCAGCCAGGAATGCACGCGCCCTTTCGTTCCAGGGCTTTACTTACGAAGTTTATGCCGACCTCAGCCCCATCACTATCCAGAAACGGAGAGCCCTCAAACCTTTTTTAGCTGTGCTACGTTCCCATCAGATCAAATACGCCTGGGGATACCCCTTCTGGCTGGTATTCCAACACAACGAGAAAAACATCACAGTGTTACTTCGGCGGAGGAAGCCCAACGCTTGCTGTCAGATCTGGGCCTGGCCCCCTTGCCCTCCAAGCGGCAGAGCCCTCACCTGGACCGGCCATCCCCACTCCGTCTGACCCCTATCTGGACCCCGGCGACAGCGAAGAAGACGGCCCCCTCCTCCACTGATCTTGCTCGTGGTCGTGCTTCTACAGATACCTCAGACTCGGATTTCTAATACTCTGCTTCCCTCAGGGCCTTTCCATTCGCCCTTCCCTCACCCTCTCCCCCTTCTTCCCAGCTACCCTCTACCTTCCCATACCATCCCCTCCACATTTCACTGATCCCCCTCCCTTTTACCCCTCGCCCGGTCTTATTGGCAACGATCACCCATACTTCTTAAGGTATATTTTGATTGTTGGCTTTACATTATTGAGGTGTGCCCCGATGACTCTTTAGGCAGAAAGCTATACCCTACTCCGGTGAAACCTACCCATGATCTAATTATACCTCAACAACCTCCGCCACCACTCACTGCCGCTTACTTTAGCCGATTGCTCCCATCCCCATGTCACGACCAGGGGGTACCTGGTCTCCCAATAGCCCCTTTGTGGCCTAGAGCTCGGACTCACATTTCTGAGCATCAGACTACTTTCTTTGTCTCCACGCATACCCTAATAAGCCCGGCCCTCTTCTGGCTAATCAACTCTGCATGCTACCTTCCCCCAGGCCTGTGATTAACTTCGAGCCCATCCCCGTGGAACCACGGCCAACCCTGCTAACATTGTGAAGCTCTTTCAAACTCACTTGGCCTCAATCTATAGCCCCCCCCCCCTCCTTTGATCCAATTGCTGCTGACCACCTCTTTAATGACCTCCACTTGCCTTCTTTCCCCTCTTCCAGTCGGGAAGCCCTGGACTCGGACATTTCAGAAGCTGAAATCCTGGAAGCTATCACTACCCTCAAACCAGCGAAGTCCCCAGGTCCTTATGGCTTTTCCAACCTTTATTACAAAAAATTTAAAGATATTCTGGCCCCCCATCTAGTGCGCCTTTTTAATGTAATGAAGTCTAGCTCCCCCCTACACTCCTCCTCCCTTTCTGCCAATATCTCTATGCTGCCAAAACCGGGCAAAGATGACTTAAATGTGGCTAACTACCACCCCATACCGTTGCTGAATACAGATGTGAAGCTCCTGGGGAAGATTTTGGCGAACAGGGTGAACATGACCTTGAGCTCTAATTGGCAGAGGAACCTACACCATACGAGGCCCCCTGAAGAATGGGGGTCAATTTGGGATGCGATCTCCAGGTGTTCTCGAAACATCAACTCCCAAGAAGCAGCCTACAAGGTTCTCTCGAGGTGGTATCTCGTACCTTCTCGCCTCGGTCACCTCCATCAGTCTAGCTCAAATGCCTGCTTCAGAGGGTGTCAAGTCGCAGGTGATGTTATGCATATTTGGTGGACATGCCCCTTTGTGGCCAGGTTTTGGTCTAAAATATACAGGCTCCTCTCCTCTATCTTCAATACGCAAATTCCGAAGGACCCCTGGCAGGCCTTACTTCATGTTAGAATCCCACACCTCACGCGACCCCAATGGCAATTGGCAAATTTTATATTTTTAGCGGCTAAACAAACTATAGCACACTCATGGAAAAAACAGACACTTCCGTGCGCTGAATTTCAACAGCGTATGCAAGGATTTTTTGTCAACGAACATCTTTCAAGCATCCTATTGGACACGAGCCGGAAATTTCATGCCATATGGGACCCATGGGCCTCCATCTTCCTACCCACCCTAGATCCGATAACACAAAACCTAATGCGATAACTGCCTTCTGGACAGTAGACCTGGGTGGTAGTCACCACTCCTCTTTTCTTCTCTCTTCCTCTCTTTTCTTTTCTTCTTCCTTACTGCTCCCTCACCTACTTTCACTTATCGCCTAACATATTCCCTCCTCCTTGACTTCTACAATCCCTTGGGGTAAACCCATACCCCACCTCCCCCTCCCCACCACTACCCTGAATAGATCCCTCCCCCCTTCTTTGTTTATGCCTACTGTAGTGTGCCGCCCAATGTAAGGGCAAATTGTTATCTTTCACTACTACTATTGCCGAATGTCAATTGTATGCTTTATGCTGACTGTTAATTGTATACGTTAAAAACAAAAAAAACAATAAAATATATTGAAGAGAGAATCAGCGGTGCCAACGAAGCCAGCGCTAGAGGAAGCAAAGCGGCACCGGAGGGAGCTGAGCGGCATAAGCCGATGCTTCCTCTATAGCGCCGGCTCCTGTCATAGGTGGAGTGATACCAAATGCACTCCACCTGTGAGGAATCAATAGTGAAAGTGCGCTTTGCTCATTCTAGCCAGCGATTGGTTAGCAAATTGCTCCTGGAAAGGTACGGCACCCCTGATTGCCCTGATCATCATATTTTTGTACATGAATACATGTAGACTGTTGTACATGAATAAGTGTGGATTGTTGTACATTAAAAAAAAAACAAATAAGACCTCCCCCGAAAATAAGACCTAGTGTGTTTTTTTTAGCCAAAAAAATATAAGACAGTGTCTTATTTTTGGGGAAACACGGTATATCATATCACTGCTCAATACTAAAGTGCTACACCTGACTTGAATGATAATCATAACCATTTCTCATTGTATTACATATTCCTTTCTTTCTTCTTTTTCCTTCATTCTTCCCTCCCCTTTCTTCTGCAATCATTGTTTCCTTTCTTCTTTCCTAACTTCCACTTTCTTGCTTTTTTGACTTCCTTTAGGCTGTACAGTTGAATGTGTACGGGAAGTCTGCAGTACTTTTGACCGAAAATAATCCCTTCTATAAAGCACTGTTGGGTGTGGATAGTAAACAATGAGAAGGAGAACAGACAGGGAGGTGGAGCTCACTGAGATTGTAAAACTGAAGGGGCACAAAAAGCCTTCAGTACGGGAAACAGGAAAAGCTTTTTAAATGAAATAAATAATTATGGTTAAACAACCTTCAATCTGCTTCTCACAATGACTTCTTACTACTCTTAGGTCACAATCCTCCCCATACTTAGATGTCTGGGTACATAAAGTAAATCACATTACATGGAGTGAGAGATTGTCAAACAATAATGCACAATGAATTATCAGTCATCTCTGATTCTTAAGTATCAAGTTTATTACAAACTATACTGGTATTGAATGCCATGAAATCATGGTAGAGAGAAGAGTGTGTGTTGTGAATTATAATAATGCAACTAAACAGAAACCAGGACAGTCCTGGAAATTGGCATATGGCCTGAATGTACCCAGGGCCGGATTTACTCTCTCTGCTGCCCCAAGGCCAGGTTCCTCAATGCGCCCCCCTACCTGCCAACCCCCCACCCTCCCCCAATGGAGAATGGCAGACCTGCAGGCTGCATACAATGTTGCCGAGATCACTTGTACAAAACAAGTGGCAGCTTCCATGTTGTACATTTAGCTCTGCTTGCCCAAAGCCGGGCTAAATGTAGAAAACAACTACCTGCCCGAGCATTGGGAGATAGGAATTCCACACCCATGCTGCTACCTCTACTCCCTGCTGCCCCGAGGCCGAGCCTTGGTTGGCCTTGTGGGAAATCCAGCCCTGACTGTACCTAGAAAGGTTCTACATAATGTGACCATCCCAAGAGGTTTCAGTTAATGCTGAAAGCACCCACGTGGTATTGGGTTAATTAGGTTGGGATTGGGAACCTTTGGCATGAGGGCAAAATACAATCAAGTCACCCTCTAATGGTGGGGACAGAATCACATCTTCCAGCCTTAGCTTCCTTTCAAACATGTAATATCTCAGAGATTTTATTTTCTTAATGAAATGCATTAACAGCACTACATTGAGCTTACATAGTGAGATCGCAGACAAAGCCTCCACTACAAAGGTGAGATCCCGGAGTCAGGGAAACACATTCAACACGGTGCCTCTCTTTGTCTGGGTCATACGGGATTTTACTCTGAAGTCAGACTTGGATGGACGCACGGTCACTGCTGATGAATATTTGGAAAACTGTCTGAAGGATGTCCGTATGTACTAATCCATAGTTTTTTAATATGTAAAACCTTTTATTTGTGTACCTAAAAATCATGAATTCACATCTCTTCATATCACCGGAGCACAAAGCTTAGTTATCAGAAGGAATTTAGCTCTCCTCATTTACTGGGTCAGTCAATCCGCAGATAACCTTGAAATCTCTAGGGAAGCGTAATCCTTATAGCATTACAGTAATGTAATGGAGATGGAACCTAAGAAAAATAAATGTTTCCATCAGTTTCCCTATGACATACAGAAGGATGGTGGTGTGCAATTAAGGTGTCTGCAAAGCTCAAACTTTCTTATTTGGATGGAGTGTGGAAGGATT